AAAGAACAAAAGAGCCAACAGTAGACTCAAACTATATATGATACGTAGCTGACCCTTCAGCAACATGGGAGGCTGGGGGCACTGACTCCCCGCAGAGTCAGAAACCCACAGAGAACTTGACTTTCCTCAAACTTTACTAATGGCCTCCTGTGGACTGGAAGCCTTACTGATTACACAGTCCACTAATATATAGTTTTTATATTATATGCATTATACAGAGAAAAGAAAACGTTATTAAGAAAATCGTAAGGAACAGAAAATACATCGATAGAAAATACATTTTCTGTATTTATCAGAAAAAAATCTGCGTATAAGCGGACCTGCACAGTTCAAATCCGTGATGTTCAAGGGTCACTGCATTTATAGGTCCTAATAGAAACAAACTATAGGAAATTATTTTCAAAGTACATGAAAAAATATTACATACATTACATATATATATACACACACACACACACATATATACATTATAACCTGACTTCTGTTGTATATTTATTGAAGGTTAGGAACCTAGAGAAATGATCAAAACGAGTCATTTCCAAGGGTCACTTACAAAGCTCCTTTAGTTAGTTGTTTTGTAGCAGGCCGCTTTTGTCCTCCTGAATGACTATCCACCTAAAGACAAAACATACCTCTTATTACTCCCTTTTGTAGAAACAATAAGCAGAATGTAGTTACACATAGTTATGTTACAGATATTTTCAATTCCCTATCCAGAGCATATTCTTTTTTAAGTTTTTTAAGTTTATTCATTTATTTTGAGAGAAAGAGAGAGAGTGCACAAGCATGAGAGATGGAGAGAGAATCCCAAGCAGGCTGTGCACTGTCAGCACAGAGCCAATGTGGGGCTCGAACTCACAGACCGTGAGATCATGACCTGAGCTGAAATCAAGAGCTGGATGCTTAACCAACTGAGCCACCCAAACACCCCTTTGTTTCGATTTTAACTAAAAACCTTTGTTTTAATTTTTTATTTTACAGAGAAAGAGTGTGTGAGTTGGGGAGAGGGGCAGAGGGAGAGACAGAGTCTTAAGCAGACTCCATGTTCAGTGCAGAGCCCGATGTGGGACTCAGTCCCAACACCCTAGGATCATGACCTGAGCTGAAATCAAGAGTCTAATGCTCAACTGCCTGAGCCACCAGGTGCCCCTCAAGAGCATATTCTAAGAATGGGGACTGTACCCTGCTAAAAAAATAAAACAAGCCAGTCCACAGACCCATGTAGCAAAGTCACACCGTGTCAAGATTATGGAAAGTTGTACTATCAGTTCCCTGGAAGGGACTGTATTTAAAGCCTGAATCTCCAACTCTATAAATGCATCGTTAGATTTTTGAAGTATATTTGTGGGTACCAACTCCATGAACATCTGAAAATCCATTAGCTGTTACAGTCAAGGTGTGTGATTTAGTAGGTAATTTCTCTCTTTTTTTCCTTTAAGTAAACTACACCCCAACATGGGCTCAAACTTATGACCCTAGATCAAGAGTCGTATGCTCTACTGACTGAGCCAGCCAGGTGCCCATAGTAGGGCATTTCTTATGTCAATGTTAAGGGAACAAACATGACTTATGTCAGAATCTGAGAATTGAACCAGATCCTTCACGGAGTATTCCAGGCGGGCCCAGACTATAACAAGTTTCATTAAACTATGAATTGGAGTTTGAGAAGAAACTAAGGGCTCAGCAAGCTGAAAACAAAAATATTTTTCCTTCCTTTTTAGATCAGTGGTTGGGTTAAAAGACCACAGAAACGGACTATTTCACATATTCCTGGTTGCTACAGCAGAAAAATAAAAAACTCTTGGTATAACTAAGAGGAACAGATCTACTTCAGTTATGATAATGAGTGATACCACTGAATAGTAAACTACATGTTTTTAGTGCCTACTATGTATTGGCTACTAGTATATTATTATGGTTATCATTATTGTTTTAATGTTTATTTTTGAGAGGAGAACGCGAGCGGGGAAGGGGCAGAGAGAGGGGGACAGAGGATCCGAGGGTCCCCATTGACAGCAGTGAGCCCAGTGCGGGGCTTGAACTCACAAACCGTGAGATCACGACCTGAGCCAAAGTCGGATGCTCAACCGACTGAGCCGCCCAGGAGCCACAGCTTCTAGTCTATTATTAATTCATGAGGAAATGACAGTGCTATAATGTGAGAAATAGAATAGACACATAAATCCCATAAACATTAACAGAACACAGCCTGGCCTGTCGGGAAGGTCTTCAGTGAACAAGCACACTTTTGTGTGTAGATGATACCAGGTGGGAACCACCAAGCTGGAGATGACACAACTACATTTCCTCACAATTATGCTCAACCTTAGGAAGAAGCTATGCAAATTGTCCTCTACCTGCACAGCTGGCTGGCCAGGAGATGATCCAACTACCTTTTCCTGCTGTGGCTGTGCGGTTCCTAAGGACACCGGTATAACTTTGCTTCCAGAATCCTGCCCTATTAGAATGAACACATAAGACAACAGAAACAGTCAATCGGGCCCCTTATATCACCCCTAGAGGCCAATGGATGTGGGTTACTGAATGTTCTGAGAAGGATTTCTTTATCACGAATGCTTGCTCTGAGGAAGGACGGTGGGAAGTACATTTATCTACAGAAGCCCTAGCAGCAGATGTCATGATTAGTAAAGCCTACGTGGTAATAAATAGAAAGTAGATACATAAATCAATGGGAATAAATAAAAGCTGCCAGTGCTACAGTTTCGAATAATCGAAGGTCTGAGGAACAGGCCTCGAGCCACTCACTACGGCAGTATTACTGGACAGCCAGCCAGGATTACAACACCCCAAAATGCTCACGAACGATGTAAGGGATGGGAGGCCCAAGCAGGAGGCTGATTACAAGTGTTCCTGCTTTTGTCTTTTTCAGTATTTACTGAGCAGTGCAGGTATTCAAAGCTTTAGAAGGAACGGAAGACATAACCCACAATATTTTTAGTCTTGGCGGGGGGGGGGGGGATTCCAAATATATATAAATAAAGTGACATGAGGATAGTTACAGAGTCCCTTGTGCCATAGGACACTGGATTTTGTTGTTTCTAAGCGGCACATTTCCCCCCAAATTAAGTGCGTCATAATTTAATTAGAAGTGTGTTTTGTTTTTCTTTCTTAGTAGTGTATAAAATGAAAGTGGGGATTGCAACATGGTTTATCATTCAGGGGGAAAGGAGGCAGAAGGAACGGTCAGGGTGGGGAGGAGGCTGAATGGGAAGGGCTACATGCAGGGTGAGGATGGGAAGAGAGTGTCCTCTGGATTTGGGGAGACAGGGGACGGCTGAGGGGAGATTACTGTGAAGGCTCCTGACCTGGCAGTGCGGTGTTCAGGAGGCCAGGGATCTGTGCTTGCCTCAGGCCATCTGTGGTCTTGGAAGCGGATATGGGGGAAGTCTGATTCAAACCTTTTTTCTGAGCCTGCGAAAAATATTGCCAAGAGGAAAAGTTAATTTCGTGACTAAAGGCTGTAGCAGATTCCTCAAAACACCAATTAGGCCAGTTAATGCCTACCCGGCATCACCGTCAGGTTAGATTACAAAACAAAAGCAGAGTTTTCCGTCACTCTCCCACCACGCTGGGAGGACCGCAAGCAGCGCCCTTTAAAACGCTACAGGCGAGCCGAATTTTCTCAGTGCCATTCACGGGGATGCTGAGTTGATGCCAGACTGCTTTCTTGCCCCGGGACTGTGGTGCCCAGACACAAAGGCAGAGCCAGAAGCTCACTTTCTATCCGCGGCAATTTTCTAGCCTGCAGGGACTATGATCCCAACTACCAGAACCTATGGGGGCGGGGTGCTGCACGGATTCTGAGCACCTGGTCAGGGCCCAAGCGCCAGCCCCAAACCTACTGCGAGCACGCACTGCTGTGTAGATGATCTAGAGTACGTGCCACCCCTGCCACCACCGGTATGGCTCCCGTTCGCATCATGTCAACATCAGGTGTAACTGGGAAATGTAAATTCAACTGAATATTAGCCTGAGGAAAATATTATTCGGAAAATTAATCTGATGTTTTAAATGGGTGAGTGCTTCTTTTCTATAAATGAGGACATGAACTGGATGAAGTTTAGGGACTGACAAGTTCCTTTTAGCTCTAAAAAGATCTGTTATCTCTATGATCCATTTAAAGGAAGATGATAAAGGGCTTTTAAATTACTCTCAATTTTTAACCTTCTGTGTCATTACTGCTTCATAGTGCAGTAAGTTTTCAGAGTTTTTTCTTCAGTTTTATACTTTCTATTCTATCAGTGGATTGAGAATTTAGTGCAGTCATCCCCACGGGGGACTTAAACTATGACCTTGGCCTGATTAAAATGTTCCCACCAACCATTCATGTGTGGGCACTCACACAGTCTTTAGCAATGCCTGACCATTGGCCAAGTAAGTTCATGCTGATATTTCTATTCTAAGCGATCAATTATCTATTTGGTCCTCTCTTCTAATATAAAAATGGAGAGGGATTTCTTTTTAGAGCTATACATCCTTTTTGTGTCCTTAATGTTTATTTATTTATTTTTGGGAGACAGAGAGAGAGAGAGAGGGAGGGAGGGAGGGAAGGAGGGGCAGAGAGAGAGGGAGAGAGAGAGAGAGAGAGACAGAGAGAGAGAGAATCCCAAGCAGGCTCTGCACTGTCAGCACAGAGCCCGACGCAGGGCTTGAACTCACGAACACTGAGATCATGACCTGAGCTGAAGTCAGATGCTTAACTGACTGAGCCACCCAGGTGCCCTGAGAGGGATGTGACATCACCCCAGAAGGAAGAGGTCACTACAAAGTTGGAAACGGTCACCTTGCTCATCCTTCCGTTAGCAGGGAAGGTCAGACCTACACCATTCTACGCAGACAGCTAATACATTTTTAGTAACAAAACCCGGAGGGGAAATTTTCCAGTGTTCACAGCATTTCACCTAGAACATAACTCTGCTCTCCTAGTGTTGGTAGCTGTCCACACGGAGGACACTGGGGTTGCGGGGAGGTCTGGGGAAAACGGTGAGCACCCTCTCAGATATTTCCAGGGGATGAACACTAAGGGCCACCTTGAATAAAAAACAAACAGATAAAAGTTGGGAAAATGTGGCTTCACAGGGCAAAGCTATATACTACGTGGAACTCTGAACTAACCAGACCACCAAGAATAGATGGATCAGAGTGAATATGTTCCTGTGACCGCAGTCCTTACGGTAGTGCTATTAATACACAGTTTTGGAATTTTTCCCAATGTGCCTAGTTCGCACGAAACAGAAGAATGTCAGTCATCCTTACTGCTTTAGAGTATACAACTTTTTTTTTTTTTTTAATAAAAATGGCATTACCCAGCCTGATCTTCCACCTTACTTATCAGACATGACCTAAAATGATTCACAGTTACTAAACAGATGAACAAAACAAAATTCCTACAGCAGCACCTGGGCGGCTCAGTGGGTTAAACATCTGACTCTCGACTTCCGCTCAGGTCCTGATCTCATGGTTCCTGAGATCGAGCCCTGCGTCGGGCTCTGCACTGGCAGCTTGGAGTCTGCTTGGGATTCTCTCTTTCTGCCCCTCCTCTGCTCATGTGCTTTCTCTCAAAATAAATAAATACACATTAAAAAATAAACAAACAACCCCCCTGCATACATAAGCAATAAAACTATACAGCAAAGCAAGAAAGAGATCACCAGGAAAGTCAGGAGAAGGGCTGTGGTTCAGAAGGCATATAGAGGGGGCTGGTTTCTGGGGCTACTTGGCAATATTCTATTTCTTGAGTGGTTACGTGGATGGGAATTTGCTTTTGAATTCTTTGTTAACTGTTCGATCATGTCTTCCACATTTTTTTCTAAATGTGTGCTCTTTCACAACACAGAAGAGTGAAAGGGAAAAAAAACCCAGAACAACCTCATGTCCAAGCCTGAAAACGTAAGTACTGTTGTGTCTAAAAACAAGGAAACTGGGGCGCCTGGGTGGCTCAGTCGGTTAAGCGTCCGACTTCGGCTCAGGTCATGATCTCGCGGTCCGTGAGTTCGAGCCCCACGTTGGGCTCTGTGCTGACAGCTCAGAGCCTGGAGCCTGTTTCAGATTCTGTGTCTCCCTCTCTCTGACCCTCCCCCGTTCATGCTCTGTCTCTCTCTGTCTCAAAAATAAATAAACGTTAAAAAAAAATAAAAAAATAAAAAACAAAAACAAGGAAACTGTCTGAAGGGGACCCTCTCGTTTGAGCACATGTTGGAGTGTTTTGTAGTCCCCTTGCCCACCTGTGTGGGTGCCAAGTATTGGCATCAATGCGTTTTCATCTTACCCCTGCCTGTGTCCTCAAGTACGCCTTCCCTCGGGAGGAGGACGGTCACTCCAGTTGTCCCACTGTGGGGTAATTGCACAGGTTGGGCTGGGGCGGGTAGGGCCAGGGTGGCGTTAGAGTCAGAATGCATGTAGGGAGGCTGGCCTGGACCCTGCAGTGGCATAACCTCAGTCCAGCTGGTCTGTATGTTTGGAAAGCTCCGTGCCTTAGGGACCACTCTGTCTCCAGAAGTTTGCCACTTGCTCCCAGTCTACATATTTTCAGGGCCGGACTTTGGTCTGTCTGGGTCACTGCTGTATTCCCGGCACCAGAATGGGGCCGGCACCACAGTGAGCGCACAGCAAACAGTTATTCAGTAAACTGTGTGAATGAATTCCACTGCAGTGTACGTCACGGGGGTCCATCCCTCCTCCCAGCCCACCCCCCAACCCCTCAGGATCCATCACCTCTCTCCTGTTCCCCAAAACTTCAGGTTGCCCACAACTGACCATCTTTTCCAGAAGTGAAATTTACCACCTGTCCTGTTTCCTGAACTCTTAGAGAAGCCTTGCTCTTTAAATACATTTTCTTGACAAACAGACTGTTTAAGGATACTTTGTTGAGAACTTGGCTCTAAGAAATCTGCTAACATCAGTATACATTTTAATGCTTTAGATCCTATGGATTATCTTTGATATCATGTAAACATACAGAAGAACCCCAACAAATCAAAATATTTGATATGTCAACCTCCCCTTCTGGGGTGTACTTTGAAAGAAACCAATTACAACCTAGCAAGACAATATTCACCTAACAACAGGCATTTACTGAATGAGGGAGACCACTGGGGGGCTCTGTCCAGCCACACTCCCCTCTGGGAATTGTCCTATTGCCACAGAAACGGGTTGGAGCCAGGAAGGTTGGAGAAGACACAAAGGTGTGTTACCTGCCAGAGGCATTCAGGGTTAAACTTTAGGAAAGGAAGGAGCACTTTTTCTCCCATCTAAAAGTGCCAAGCTTGGGGCCCCTGGGTGGCTTAGTTGGTTGAGCGCCCAACTCTTTTGATTTGGGCTCAGGTCATGATTCCAGGGTTGCGGGATTGAGCCCCATGTCGATCCCATGCTCAGCATGGAGCCTGCTTAAGATTCTTTCTCTCTCCCTCTGCCCCTCCCCTGCTCTTTCTGTAATAAAAATTTTAAAAATAAAATAAAAGTGCCAATCCTGCCAATGGAGCAGTTTATCCACCCAGAGGGGTACCTTTTTCTATTTTGGCTCAGAGGGGCACTTTTTCTTAATTTGAACAAAGGTCCTGTTATACAGCAGTAGAGGCTCTGTATGGTCACTTCGTGTCACCCTGCTCCTCTGGCTATGGCTTACTTAATGATCCACGGTGGGTCATTAAGCTTCTCCTGGGAATTTTGAATGGTGGTGGGGAATGGATACCCAAAGGCAGTGGCTCTCAAATGCAGGTTTATAGACTAGCTGCATCAAGATCACCTGGGGAGCTTCTGAAATACCAAGTTTCTGGGTTCTAGCCACAAGATTCAGAAATCCAATGTGGGCTTAAGAATTTAAAATTCTTCTCTGTCTCAAAAATAAATAAACGTTAAAAAAAAAAGGGGGCGCCTGGGTGGCTCAGTCGGTTAAGCGTTTGACTTCGGCTCAGGTCACGATCTCACAGTTCGTGAGTTCGAGCCCCACGTCGGGCTCTGTGCTGACAGCTCAGAGCCTGGAGCCTGTTTCAGATTCTGTGTCTCCCTCTCTCTGTCCCTCCCCCGTTCATGCTCTGTCTCTCTCTGTCTCAAAAATAAATAAACGTTAAAAAA